GGCAGATACAAAAGGTGCCTCATGTGTCATGTTACAGAATTTGCACATTGTCCAGTAGGTCATTGGAAGCCACTTAACCACTTTAAATGTGAAGAACTAAATAATCATGTTTATATTTTAAGAATATCACTTGACCCCTTTGCTGCAGTCCCATCCAAAGGAGGGCAGTGTAGTCTTGGTGGCACTGCAGAAACCTCCACCCAGGACAATTCTCCCTTCCCGGGCCTGTCCCCTCCTGCCCTCGAGTATCCTCACCTTCTAGGCCTCTCGTATCCGATATCGTGAGGTGAGGTGAGGTGAGAGCAGGCCCGGGGAGGGTGATCATGCCTAGGAGCCGCAGTCTCCAGCAAGATGATAGAAGTCCTGGCAACAGCTGACTCCCAGAAACTGCTACACCAGCTGAATACCCTGGTGGGACAGGAGGCTAGATGTCAGCCAAGGTCTGTGGCTTGAGACTAATTGAATCTTCACATGACAAAGGCCTTAGAATGACTGCAAGACTGAGGGACTTTTAGGTAAAAGATCTTCTTAGTCTAATCAGTTCTTTGGCTTTGATACGGAGACATTTTCTCTAGCTGTGAATTTACTGGACAGATTCCTATCTAAAATGAAGGTGTAGCCCAAGCACCTTGGGTGTGTTGGACTAAGCTGCCTTTATTTGGCTGCAAAATCAATAGAAGAAGAAAGAAACGTCCCATTGGCAACTGACTTGATCTGAATAAGTCAGTATCGGTTCACGGTTTCAGACTTGATGCTAATGGAAAAGATTGTATTGGAGAAGGTGTGTTGGAAAGTCAAAGCTACCACTGCCTTTCAATTTCTACAACTCAATTGTTCACTCATTCAGGAGAGCTTGCCATTTGAAAGAAAAATAGCCTAAATTTTGAAAGACTAGAAGCTCAGCTTAAGGCATGTCACTGCAGGATCATATTTTCTAAATCAAAGATTTCTGTGTTGGCCTTATCTATCACTATGTTGGAGATCCACGCACACGAGTGTGTAGAGTTAACAGAAGGAGTAGAATGTCTTCAGAAACATTCCAAGATAAATGACAGAGATCTGACCTTCTGGCAAGAGCTTGTATCCAGGTGTTTAACTGAGTATTCATCAAACAAGTGTTCCAAACTGAATGTTCAGAAGTTGAAGTGGATTGTTTCTGGGCATACTGCATGGCAACTGAAGCATACGTTACTATAGAATAACTCACCTTCCAACAATTCCTGAAACAGTTTCTTAAATGGTAAATTTGGTTGTTATTCTCTGTATAGAGAAAATTGTATCATTTTCTTCTACAATTTAAGTATTGAAATATTATCTTCAAAATAAACCAAATGGACTTGGAATAGCAAAAGGGAAAAACTGGTAACACCAATCTAGTCAGCGAACATTTAAGGCATTTACTATATATAAGGTACAATACCCTAAGGGCCAAGCATGGTGGCGCACACCTGTAATCCTAGCACTTATGAAGCTGAAGCAGGAGGATTGCCATGAATTTGTGACCAGCCTGGGCTACAAAGTGAGTTAAAGCTCAGCTTAAATTACATAGCGAGACCCTGTCTCAAAAATTTTTTTTTAAAAACACCCTTAGGAGTTTCTAATCTCTGATATATATGTTAACCATTTCATTAAATTAGCACCTTAGAAAACAACATCCTCTTTAATAACCTGAATTTTTAAGGTAGTGCTGAAGTAATGGTTTTTTTAATGGCACATTTAGCTAAATTTAGCCCTAAGCTCTAGCTCATTTAAGGTTGTAATAGGACCAAAAGTTTGATCCATATATGAACTAATTGGAGACTGTTAGCTTATAAGCAGAATCACTATGAACTTGACTGTTACACCTAAAGAAAATGTAATACAAAGCAGATGATCTCTTTTGGGTTTCTGAAAATTGCCAGTATATAATTATATTTATAAAATATATAAATCCAGTAACTGCATATATTCTATATGCTCTTGCCATCTAAATTTATTAACTTAAACAGTAATGATTTATCTTTTCCTACTCAAAACGAAATGTTAATATTTAACATGTCTGCATGTGGGTATGAAACTTAGGTATTAAAAATTTACCTTTAGTAGCTAGTAGTATTTAGATAAACTTTTGATAAGTTGGGAGTTTTTATTCTTTACATAAATAGTATTATTGTAGCAACAAAAACAATTCTTTGGAACTATGGATTCCATAATGTTATAATGGATTTAAGTTACGAGCCCCCAAAATATCACAACTAGGTTAGTATGATGTTCTCCATCTTTGGAAAACTGCCTAATTAATATAATGCTGCAGTAGGAACGTTTAGATTTGAACTCATCTGTAAAGCTAAAGGTATAAGTGGAAAACACTTAATACATGCCTGAAAAGGTGAACTGTGAATCTTCATTTCAAACATTAATTGAACTTTCTATAGTGGATCAATACATTTAGGTGATACTGAAAATGGTAACCTATTTAATTTAAATGTTAACTTTTAAATTAGGAGGTTTACATCAAAACCAACATTTCACAATGCACTTTTTAAAGGCATAATAAAGGTTATATTCTAGATAATGTAATAGTTTCTTGGCACCCATAATGCAAGTAATAGTTCAAAGATGAGAATGTTATTGCTATATGGGAATTATATTTAAATTTTAAAACATTTTGTATTAAGCCAAAATACAGACCTACTAAGTTTGGCATATTCATTGAGCTATCTTTAATGTTTCTTCTAAAAAACAGGTGATACTTGTGTCAATGATAAAAATTTCTATATAAAATCTACTTCCTCAGTCTATCTAGCTCCATTAAAAAATATGTTCTAGCTGGGGATGTAGCTCAGTGGTTCCACCGCCTGCCTCGCAAGCAAAAGGTCCCGAGTTCGATCCCCAGTTCCAAAAAAAAATATGTTCTATTACATAGTTAATCAAAATCAATTATCACTCTGAAAACTTGCTTTACCCTAAATTCTGGCTAGACAAAGCACTCCAGGTTTTACTATGGGCTATTTCTATAAAACTGCCATTGCTTCCAGGTTTTTTAAAGGAATAGAAATACTTTCACATATTTCCATAATGTGTCTTATGAAAAGTAAGGAGGCACTGCCATAATTATGAGATTGCTGAGGTAGTGTTGGGAATTATCCATGTGAACCAATCAGTGTAAGGAGATGTACATATATTGTCAGTGTCTTAAAGAGTTAGTGTAGCCTGAAGCCTGAGACTATTCAGAATGGATGTAACCAATTTTGACATCATGTTACAGATAAATAAGCATTGAAAATTAAACCAAAGAACCACAGTATATTCTACCTTTAACTTTTTGTAAACTATGTTTGTGTATAACTTCAGTTTTACTATAAGGCTGATCTTTTTCAATATTTTGAAAACGTCAGTATTAATTTTGAGTTGGCAGAGGTGACCTAACCAACTACCATTATGTTTGGTACTAAGAGATATACCTTTCAATAAAATTATTGAAGTGCAAATTTTTAAAAAAAGAGTATATATCATTTGACCCTACAGAGAATGAAAGAGGCAGGAAATCGCTTTAGGAGGTAATGGCAGTGATCAGGAATATCATCCTGAAATGCTAAAAAATCAATTACAGGTAAAACAAAATAGAAGGCTAGGTCAGCCTCTTTGCACTGCACAGCTCTAAGGGAACAACAGGCTCTAAGGAAATAGACAATCTCAGAGTCTTAAAAGTAGAAGAACATTAGTCATAATAAGATGTCTCAAAGTGGAGGGCAGAAGGGACAGAAAAAATAAAACAACTTGACATTAAAACCAAAGACACAAATATTTTGTTCAAGATCCACAAGTTTAGTTGAGACTCAGAAGTGAGGAATGAAGGTAAATCCATCAGATTATGAAACCCATGCCCTCCCTCAGGTGCAGAAACAGGTGTTTCACAACCTGGATGTCTTCAGCAGTGACACCGTGGATTTGCCTGCCTCTGCTCACTCTCCACATTGCAAATACAGGATTTCCTGAAACACTCTGATCTCAGTGTCTCCCTGTCACTGTGCTGAGTAGCCTGATCCCCCCATGGAAGGTCACTGAGGTGACCCCTGTGTTTTTCTTCAGTGTCATGAGCTGACACTCCACCTGCCACCCCGCCACCCTGCCCCTCCACCTGACACCCTGCTCTGACCTTTATTAGCACACAAACTATTTGCAGGTTCCAAGACATGACCTCTTTTCACCAGCTCTCTTAGCCTCCATGTATTACTGCCTCTGCCTAGAAAATACTTCCTCCCACCATTATATATCTTTCAGAGTTTTCAGTACCAAACATGGTGGCAGGCCCAGTGTAGCAACTCACATATTTGTTGAATGAGTTAATGAATGGACAGTTCATCTGAGTTTTCATCTGCTCCTGGAAACCTTTCCAGACTCTGATGAGGTTGCCCTTGTCTGTATCCTAGTTCCCCTCTCCACTAATCTTTAATACTGTCTTGGACTTGATTGGTTATTGTCCAGCTCCCACCCCCCACAGGTGAAGGACATCATAATGAAAAGAATGATCTTTCTATGTCCTAGGTTCTAGCACAGGGTCTATTACACATTAGTCTCAATAAATACTGGCGGTTAATCAAATGGAATTGATGGAAGGGAGAAGGGGTCGGGAAATCAAAACGATAACAGTGTCTAACAGTGTCTAATAATTAGCAATGCAAAAAAACAGATGGATACTCCTGTTGGTGCTGCAGGATTTATTCGCCAGGGATGGAGGGAAAGGGCAAGTTCTTAACTACTCACATTGGCTTAAAAGAGAATAAGCTGACTTCCCTTAGAATTACTGTGGTCCACCATCATAGCCATTTGGGTTCCTCCTCATGGATTATTTATCCAGTAAACAGTAGCAGGCAGATACCCTATGAGTAGCAGATGATGAAGTGTACCTTGTCTCTCACCTGCCACCCATTGGGATCTGTTTTTCCCAGGGCATTCAAAGAATTATCTCCATATATTACCATTTAATCAGAAGTTTAACCTTTTGATTTCTGTTGTAGAATAAAGATCCCAAGATGGCTCGAGTTGCCCTGGAATCTCTTTACAGATTACTTTGGGTTTACATGATTAGAATTAAATGTGAAAGCAACACAGCTACTCAGAGGTAAGGAGTTGGCTTCTTTTAATGCTGACCATGTCATTCAGTTAATAATTGTAATCACATTACTCAGCCATCACCAAGTAATGATACCGCCTACCCTAACCCAAATAGAACCTGTTCAGAGCTGATAGTTTCTAAAAGATCTAAGTCCTGAGAACAGTTTTAGGCTTTCTGTGGTCATCGGCTTGGCAGCCATTACTGAAACTCCAGCCTCTTTCAGAAGACAGGTCTACTTCCAGGATTACATGTGCCACTAAGAGGAAACCACTATAATTATCTGACTGCCTTTAGTTTTCCAGAAATTTTTCCAAAGAGTAATTATGCTAATGGAAGGGATGAAGTGTTTTGTTTTCTTTTTCTGAATTCTCTCTGATATTTAGATAAGATGAAACATCTGCCATCTTCCCTTAAAGAACTGGAGCTCAGCTGATCTTGCTTGTTTTCTCTTTTCCCCCTTTGTCTTCCAGCCGACTTATAACCATCATCACAACACTTTTCCCCAAAGGGTCCCGAGGTGTGGTGCCAAGGGATATGCCTCTGAACATCTTTGTGAAAATCATCCAGTTCATTGCCCAGGTAATGAAGAAGTTTCTGGCAGTGAGAGTCTTCTAATTGCCTTTAAGTAGCCGTCTTCTCATGAAGTACTAAAAGATGAAAATTCTAAAATAATATCTTATGTGTTTAGACTATGTATCTTCACAGATAACCTATTCTTTTTCTTCAGAACAAATTGTGACATAAATACATCAAGTGTTTTCAGTATATCACAAACAGAGGCAGAGAGTTGAAGTGACTCACCTAAGGTCAAAAACCTATTAAAGGGTCCCTTGATTCTCTCTCCATCCTGTTTTTTTTCCTCATTCTCTGCTCTGGATTCTACAAGTAAAGAGGAGGCAAAAGGTCTGATGTCTGGAGGAAATTTTTAAAAAGAAAATGTAGTGAAATTTGACAAGTAATGTTCTAATTTTTATCTGAAAAAATTCCATAGGGAGATTAGCGTTTATCAATCTGAAGTTGTTCTTTGCCAAAAACTATTCTAAGCACTTTATATGGATATTAATTTACTTTGAAACTGGGTCCAGTAATATTATAATATTAAATGTAGACTTTGAACATATTTTTTTTAATACCAGGAATCGAACTCAGGACCTTTCACTTGAGAGGCAGGTGGTGGAACCACTAAGCTAAATCCCCTACCCCATAATTTATTATTTAGACCCAAGATTTTACTTTTTGTGTGTGTGCCTAGCTCATGCTAAGCACATGCTCTACCACTGACCTAAACCCTGAGTCACTAATTTTCATTTTGTGAGTAAATGGTTTTACCCTGACTTTTTTTTTTTTTGGTACTGGGGATCGAACTTGGGACCTTGCGCTTGCAAGGCAGGCAGCGGAACCACTGAGCTAAATCCCAAGCCCCTTTACCCCAACTTTGACCTTGTGATTTACTGAAGAGCAAGAAAAGTCTTTTATTCCAGTTCAGCCTCTGCCATGAACCCGCCCTTCAACCTCAGACAAGGCAGAGAACGTTTTTGAGCTACTTTATTGGTACAATGAGAATGGAAATGCTTGCTGAATATGCCTCAGAATATTATACATAATACTGTATCTACAGATAAAGAGAAATAATGGCCATTAAAATACTGTTGAATTACAATTGATGCTGATATAAAGATAAAAGCTTCAATTGTTACTCCATAGACTATTTAACATGTGTTTGGTGCATTGAAATGTCTCTGTAATATTCAGATTGAAGGAATAGACATCACTTGCTGTACCAGTGGCAGAATTAGTGTAACTTTTCTACATGTAGTTATGTGGTTGTTTTGGGATACATTGTATTAAATGAACATGTAATATCTTAGTAATTAGTATAGTACCTTTAATATGCCTTATTTGTTGACCATTCTTCTTAATGTGAAGAATTACTTGCTTTAAAATTAATCAAATGATTGTTAATGTTAGAGAATAGAAGATGGTTGTTTTGCAGTGGTGCTAGTAAAAACACATATTAAATTGAGTTTCAAGAAGTTACCAGCATTACCAAAAGTAGAAGAGTGTGGATTGCTTCTAAACTCAGACATCAAAATGTTTTAGTTTTCTTGTTTTTATTTTTCTCTTTGGGCCATGGGTCCCTGTGTGCTTTTGGAGCTAATTCCATCTCTTATATAATGAAGCCATTCCTGTAGTACAAACAAAAACACAAGCAGCTCTGCCAACATTTTTTTTTTAAATCTAATGCTATGATCTTCCCTCAGGAACTCTCTCTGGTCCATAAAACTAAGCGATACCTGTCTGCTTTTAGCAGCCACCTGTTTGGTACACATGATGAAAATAGCCATCTCATGTTGAATTTGTGTTTTAACATTTTTGTTGTGTTTTCTTTTTTCTCTCCCCCAGGAACGTTTAGATTTTGCAATGAAAGAAATCATTTTTGATTTTCTTTGTGTAGGAAAACCAGCCAAAGCTTTCAGTCTCAATCCCGAGGTATGAATGACCCTTTTATGTCCTTCTAACAGAGCATGTATTCACAGAGCCATACCTCTGCTATGCAACTTTGGGGAATAGGCCCAGGGACAGCTTCTCTCAAAGGTCTTCTATTTGTTTCTGTTCATGTCTAAAGTCTGATGATGGAGTTTCAAAAATAAAATGTTGGCTCAATAGATTTAGGGAGATAAAAGGTTAGTGTGCTTCTTTATTCTGCTTTTGTGTAATAGAATAATTCTTACCCCAACAGATAATCTGTTGCTACTAGTTAAGTTGTTTTATTTTAGAAAGTAAGTGCTTTACTTATAACTACATTGATGCAGGTCAACTAGTATTGGAAAGTGATGAAACAGAGAATAAGTACATGTAATAATAAAAATACTAAAACATAGTAAAATTAAATAATGTCTGAACATGTCTCTGTAGCAGCATTCCAACTCAAGGGTCAGGCAGATGGTGGAAATGAGTCTAGCATGAGTATTATATACCATATGGAGTAGTCAGGGTTATGCAAATTAACAAGATAATTCAGTTTTAAACCTTTAAAAACATTGTTAGCCAAGAAAAATATCTCTGGCAAGCTGCTTCTCTGCAGTCCTTTTCCTCACTGGACCAGAAGCTGGCAGAGCTGGCTTTGTCACTTGCACTGATACTTTTTTAGTTGTGTGACATTTACTTCTCTGACTTTCAACTTCTTCACTCGTAAAATAGGCCAAAATACTTTTTCTATCTCACTTCACAGAAGAGTGGTACTGGAAAGAACATATTTCAAATGAAAGACAGAGAGAGAGAAGGAAATTGCATACCATAAAATTTTTAAAAGATTATTTCTAGAATCACTGTGGTATTGTGCGGCTCCTTCATTCTCTCAACGAGGAAGAAAACCCCAAGCCCAGAGCCTCAATGTAGGCAGATTGTTGGTATCAGAGGGACCCTGGATATCCCTATCCCCCCCTCCACCATACCCTGAATTCTCTTCTTGGTACTAAGGTCCTCACGTCTGACAACAGAACAAGAGGCCTCATGATGGGATTTCTGTCTGGTGGCTAATGACCTTGCAGAATTCCAGGATGGCTTCAGTTAGGTCACCGGGTCAGTGAGGGTCAAAGGCAGGAAGGAGGGCAAGGCTAGGAGAAAAGAGTCTCCTCTTGCTTTGGAGGTTTTAAATGCATTTTTCACTTATCAGTGATCATAGCTCTGATACTTTATCAATCAGTACTCAGGACTTCTGTGCTACTTACCCAAAAGGAGCATGTTAAAAGCTACTATTCATTATTATCACCATCTATAAGATTTATCCTTAAGTCTTTCTGCAAACTCTTCATCAGTGATGAATTAGTTTCTCTATGCAAATCAGATGGAATTGTGTTTTTAAAACAAAACTACCGGCAGGAGTCAATATTTGGAAATTGCCTTCATGTTTCTTGGTTTTATAGGGTTAAAGAAGCAGCTATTTATTAGCAGTTGGCAATTATATGTCCAAAGGCCTGTTCATAACCTCCCTCAAAAGAAGACATAAGGCAGACTAACCTATGAAGCAGATATCATGCTTTTGTTGAAATGTGATGTAGGGCACCATTTCTCAGGAAACAAATCCAGATTAGGTCATAAGTAATATTTTGTAAGTAGCTTGTGGAACAAGGTCTAGAGATCTAAGGAGTTGTCTTACACAAAGTGGATTGCACCACCAGTTAACAGTTAAGTAATTTCCAGGTAATTGTCTTGAATTATTTTGGACCTGGATGACTTCCTGTCTGTACCTTTATCATCATGAGAACTTGTTCATCTGTGAGAAGAGGTTCTAGGTCATCAACTTCTCTAATTTTTGCCTTGATCTAAATTAATGCAGAACTAAAGGTCCTACCCAGTACTAGAGGTGTGAAGAAGAAATAAAAGTCATAAAGAGGTAGGAAATGAAGACCTAAAATTGTCTGCATTCACAGGCCACATGTTTGTGTACATAGAAAATCCCAGAGAATCTATAGAAAACATACTAGAACTAATAATTATAGGACGTCCATAGGATGTGAGATAAATAAATCAGTATAATTTATATTCTAGTAGAACAATATTTGTAGTAGACTGAAGGACTCAATCCTGTTAAAAGTTCAGTTGTCCCCAAATTGACTTCAGTAATAAGCCCCGTTAAAATCTCTATAACTTTCTCTGCAGGAATTAACAAGCTGATTTTAAAATTTGTATAGAAAATCAAAAGAACTAGAACAAAGATGTAGGATTAGTATGACCTGATTTCTCTTTCTCCCTCTCCCCTCCCCTCTTTTGTGCATGTTTGCAGAAAATAATTTTACAGTCTTTGTGTGGAGTTGGTATATGCACATAACACATCCTGATTTCTTTTTCCATCCCCTTTCTCTCCTCTTCATCCCCTTCCATCCATCTCTTTTTTTTTTTTGGTACCGGGGATTGAACTCTGGTCCTTGCGCTTGCGCAGCAGGCGGCCAAACCACTGAGCTAAATCCCCGGCCCTCGTCCATCTCATGATCCCCTTTGCATTTGAGAGAGATCTATCTCCTTGCTTCCTATTATCTACCTTTTCTTTTGCTTTGTAATTATGTATTTATGCTTTTGGTTTCCCACAAGAAAAACCATGTAATATTTAAGCTTATGTATCTGATTTATTTCACTTAGCACTATGGTCTCAAGGTGCATCCATTTTCTACAAGTGACTCAAATTTATATTTCTTCATGGCAGAGTAGTACTCCATTGTGTATCAATACCACATTTTCTTTTCCATTCATCTGTTGATGGATATATAGGCTATTTCCAAGATTTAGCTATTATGAAAATGCTGCTATAAATAAGGATATGTATGTAATATGATGTTCTTGACTCTTTGGGGAAGATTCCTAGAAGGGGAATTGCTGGATCAAACACAATTTATATTTTTAGTTTTTTGAGGAATCTCCATACCGATTTCCATAGTTGTATTAATATACATTCCCACCAACAATGTAGAAGGCTTCCTATTTCCCTGTAGCCTTACTAACATTTGTTGTTTTTGATTTCTTGATTACGGCCATTCTTTCTGGGGTAAGATAGAATCTTGATGTTGTTTTAATTTGCATTTCTCTAATGGCCAGTGATGTTGAACATTTCTTCATGGGTTTATTGGCCATTTGTATTTCTTCTATGAAGTGTCTCTTAATTTCAATTTTTTGATTAGGTCTTTTATTCTAGTGGGGTCTAATTATTTTGAGTTTTGTATATTTTCTAGGCACTAGTCCTCTGTTCAAATAATAGCTGGCAAAATTTTTTCCCATTCTGTAAGTTTTCTTTTCACTCTGTTAGTTGTTTCTTTTGCTGTGCAGCTTTTTAATTTGATACATTCCCACTTTCTGATTCTCAGTACTACAGTATTTCCTGTGCAACCAGAATTCTGTTCAGAAAGTCCTTGTCTACATCTTTGACTTCATTAATTTTACCTATTTAATCTTCCAGCAGCTTAAGTGTTTCTGTTTTAACATTTTGAGACTTACTATAATGTTACATACAGTCAAATCCTGGATAGAGTTCACAGAGGATGACTATAAAGACCAACTAAATAAAATAGACTTAAATTCAGTACTTGACCCATAGAGTGTGGTCAGCTGATCTTCAACAACAGTTCTAAGTTATTTTAATGGACAAAGCATCTTCCCAATAAATGGTGCTAAACAGTTGGGCATCAACCTGCAAAATAATGAATTTTAATCCATAATTTGCACTATAAATGAAAATCAACTCAAAATGAATCATAAACCTAAATGTAAAACCCAACACTGTAATTATTTTTTTTAAAAAAAGGAAAGAAAGAGAAGAAAAACTAGGCATGGTGGTGCATACCTGTAATCCCAGCACCCTGGAAAGCTGAGACAAAAGGATGGCAAGTTCAGGTTAAGATGGGGCAACTCAGCTACTTAGCAAAGCCCTGCCCCCCTTCCCCCACAAAACAAAATCAAACGGGCTAAGAAGGAAGCTCATTCAGGTGGATAAAATTTTCTAAGACATAAAAATTACAAATTTTAAGAGGAGAAGTTAATGAATTAAGCATCATCAAAATAAAATGTCTGCACTTCAATAGACACTGCACTTTAAATTAAGTGGAGAGTTACAGGCTGGGAGAAAACATTTGCAAGAAACATATCTGACAAAGTACTTCTATCCAGAATATATGAAGAAAATAACCCAAGTTTGAAAAGGGGCTAAAGGAACCACCTCTTTATTTAAAAAAGATAAAAATGATTAGTGAGTCCATGACAAGATGTTAGGAAGTGGGAGATAAAAACCACAGTAAGAATGCTAGGAAGAATATAGAGCAACTGGAACTTTACATTGTTCTAGTGAGAATGCCTTTTGAAGAGCAAGTGTCTTGTTTGGTCATTTTTCAGAGCCAGTGTTGTGCCTTCCCTGAGCCTGAGGAACAGTTTGACCCAGGATGGTATTTCCTCTCAGATATCCATAAGTTTTCATCAGTAATAGGTTCTGTAGCATTGAATTTTAAAACTTATTCTACAACTTTCTGCCATTTGTGAATCAAAAGTCAAGAACTTCAGTTCAGTGTAGGGAATGTTCATTTTGTGGTTTCACATTTAGAACTCTGAATGCTTCCACTCAGTCTTTGTGAATTAACACACCTGGGTTTCTCTCCTTCCAGGAGACATAAGAGTCTGTGGTCTACCTGAGTTTACCTTAGTTGCAGTTGCTCCACAGAGATAACTTCTCTCCCTTGGAGGTCCCAGCATCCCCTGAATAGAGTATGGTTTGTGACTATCTCAACTATGCCCTCCAAATTTGATGAAAATCTTCCCAGTTGTTTGCTTGTGATATAGCAACAGTGCTAGAAACTTTATTTTCATAAGTTGGGCCAACACGTGTCTTTTAAATTATCTTTCCATACTGATCTAGAAACAAGCCAAGCTTAACCTCTCTGAAACATTTGTGATTTAATTACACAAGAATAATTGGTTTTTTCTTTTTATTATGAAATAAAATAATTTTAAAATAAATATTGCCTCTTACAGAGAATGAACATTGGTTTGAGGGCATTCTTGGTCATAGCTGATAGCTTGCAACAGAAAGATGGTGAACCTCCCATGCCAGTTACAGGAGCTGTACTCCCTTCTGGAAACACATTGAGAGTAAAGAAAACATATTTGAGTAAAACGCTAACTGAAGAGGAAGCCAAAATGATAGGTGGGTTTCAGACATGTATTATAGCTGAATGTGAAGCCTTTAAAATCACCAAGAGATACTTACTTCTAATGATCTTTTATTTAAATTTTGTAAAAGTAGCCAGTGAGCCATTCCAGTGTTAATTGTGTTGATTGATTCATGCTGTGTTTTCTTACTGCTCTTTAAACTTCTTTTGAATTTCCTGGTAAATATTTTGCCATTTAAACAGTAGACTTTTTTTTTTTACATGTACATGTATTAAACAGTAGACTTTTATCTGGGTGTGTTCAACCCTCAAATAGTGATTATCTAAATTTTACAGTAAATTTATAAGATATCTATTTCCTTTGATAAACACTCTTGTTCTTGTTTGCAGCTAGTTATTTGTTGATTTACATCTATAGTATATTTCCTTTTTTCCAGTAACATTGATTGTAATTTATATTTTAAATATGCCTCAACCCACAAAACACCAGGTTATATTGTGAAACTAGCCACATGAAATGGTTTTTCTTTTTAATTCAGCTCTCGTAATGCAAAGAGGCAACTTCTTGCACTTGTTTCTTATTAAGTACCCAAATTTAGAAACCTACCGCAAACATTGCTAATGTAGTTCTGGAGCTATATTGAGGACTACGTGAGGGAAACACATGCAGAAGCTTTGTACTTTAAAATATCTTAAATAAGTTCAGAAAACTTAGTGCATGAGAAATCATTTTTTAAGGGACATTGAAAGGGGCCGGGGATGTAGCTCAGTGGTGCCATGCCTTCCTGGCAAGTGCAGGGTCCTGAGTTTGATCCCCAGTACTGCCAAAAAATAAAAAAAAAGAGAGAGAGACATTGAAATGTTTATTAGGAAAAACTTAAAGTACAATCTCAATGAAAATGGAGTACAGGCTCCCCAAAGAGAGGCACATCATAGTCTGGGGCTGGGAATATTTATGCATTTTTCACGGTGAAAATCTGTGGAATTTGGAACTCTGTAGAAAGTTTGTTCTTGGACCAGGGAATTAGCTCAGTGGTGCTGCCACCTGCCTTGAAATCACAAGGTCCTGAGTTTGATCCCAGTACCAAAAAAAAAAAAAGAAAGAAAGAAAGAAAGTTTGGGCTTGGTTTCTAGGAGAAAAGTGATGGCTCACACACACATAGAAAGATAATGGCTCATTTTACAGAGGAAAATCATGGGCCTAGCCCATTTGTATTTTTTAAGGTCTGACCTTCACCTTATCTACTGAGCTAATTTATGGACTTTTAAGAAAGAGATGGAGGGAGGGAAAAGAGGGGAAGGAGAAATTAAAAGAATTAAGATGTGTTAGGTATGTGTAACTCCCCATGAGTGTAATCTTGATGTATGTAAACACATACTAATAAAACTTTTACAAAACTTAAAAAGCCTAAATAAAAAATAAAAGCTAGGCATGGTAGTACATGCCTGTAATCCCAGCACTTAGATGGCAGAAGCAGGAGGCTCACACTGAATTTGAGCCCAGCCTGAACTGCATAGCAAGGCCCTGTCTGATAAAAACTAAAAGATGCAGTTTTAAAACTGATTTTCATGAGCTGGGGATTTAGCTTAGTGACACTGTGCCTCCCTCACAAGTGCAAGGTCCCAAGTTCGATCCCCAGTACCAAAAAAACCCAAAAAATTGATTTTCATGCATGAATTACAAATATGTACTAAGAAAATAAAAATTTTAAAAGGGGAAAAAAAAGGACTAAAGTGCTGATTTTTCCATGTCTCCTTTTTACTTGTCTTTATTACTTCTATCCTATCTTATTCCCTACCCCCATATTTGTTCCCTTATTACTTCTATCCTATCTTATTCCCTACCCCCATATTTGTTCCCTTATTCTTAAAGTCCGCAGAGGGATACAAAATACATAGCTGCTTGGGGTCAGGGTAAGGACTGACTGTGCCTAGCCAGGGATCAAAAGTCTCATTCTGGGGTCTGGGGATTTAGCTCAGTGGTTTCACTGCCTGCTGCACAAGCGCAAGGACCTGAGTTCGATCCCCAGTACCAAAAATAAAGTCTCATTCTGACTAATCTACAGGAGACAAAGGAAGATGGGATTTGCTGTTTGATGAGCCATCATCCTTTATAGCTTGGAAAAGAGCACAAGAACATTAGCCAGTCATTGACATTTTTTTTCTTTTAGTTTTTTAAGACAGGGTCTCACTTTGTAGTTCAGGCTGGCATTGAACTCACTATGTATCCTAGGCTGGCCTCAAATGCAGTCATCCTTCTGCCTCAGCCTCCTAAGTGCTGGGATTACAAGCAGGCACCAACACACCTGGCTGACTTTTAAGGTTCATTTGATAACTGTGCTAAATAATCATGTCTAAAAATTAAAATTAGAATATTGGTGAATAGTGGCTCCAAAAAGTTGTAGAAGTCAGACAAAATTCAGCATAATCCTAATATTAACCTCTATTTGCCCAGAAATGTTAACCCACATATAGCAGGTGGGGTTTATGAGCATACAAACTCCTCCCTGTTTCATCAATATGAAATCAAGTGTCTTCCTATTTTAATTATAGCAATAGCCAAAGAATACACTAAATAAAGGGCCATTAAAACTTTTACTGGGGCTGGGGATTTAGCTCAGTGGGTCTGCCACCTACCTCGCAGGCGCAAGGTCCCGAGTTCAATCCCCAGTACCAAAAAAGCCCAAAAAAACAACAACAAAAAACTTTTACTGTAGGGCTTGGAACCTGGATCTGACTTCTGTTTATAGAAGTGTAAACCTTTGGTAGTGACCAGCTTCAGATAATATAAACATATAAGGTCTGGAGTAGATAATAGAAAATTACTTCATACCACAAAAGTAAGAAATCTTAGTCACTAGATTATTTCTGTTGGCATTAAAATGACAATGGCAGTACACTAAGACAGGCTGAAGAACATGTTTTTGGAAGCGCTATTAAGACTGGGAATCATGACCTCTATGGTTGTAGGTTAAGATGTTATAGGTGTAGCTGGACATTCCCTGTAGGGCTGGGGTACAGGGTTTGGAGTCCCTTTTCATGTCTAGCCAAGCTTTCTCTGTTTTCATGTTACTATTAATTACTGCTTTTTGTTTGTTTTGGTTATACTTTCCTGCTGGGTGCATAAGACCAAGTCAAAGAAAGACCCATGTCAATCAAAATTAATCTATTTACCTGTATTTTTCAAGGTCAGTTAAGGCTCCTCAGGAATTTTTCCAGCTACATGAAGAACCTCTTAGCTCCTCCAGCTTTTCGCGCTACCCGTTGTGTCATTTGTCAGGATAAGTCATGCACGACCATATGGCTTTCCATGAAACCATGGGGACTCCCCTCTTTGGTGACTCTCCTTTTTGAAAAATGCATACTGGTTGACTTCAGACCTCTGGGGTCCAGCAGTACCCCTGTTTGGGGGGTGGGTGACTCATCAGAGTTACAGGGCCCTTTCAGAGGCCTCCTGTTATGCCCTAGGTTCTGGCTGACCTTGAAGGACGAGGGCAAACATATTGGCTGTCCTCTTAGCCCTTTTATCTCCTTTAGCTTTAGTCTCTAAGCCTTGGTTGTTGGTCACCCAGAAGGGCAGTTACACAAGTCTTGAAATGGGAGCTTTAGGTCTTAATCCTATTATAATCCTTTCTGAATCCCAGGCACCTTGAAATATAAAGTATGACCAGAGAACACCTACTTCTTCCATTAATGGCCAGTATTAGTATTAGGAGTCAGTGCATATTCCATTTGTCCGATAGGTGATGGCCTACCATTTTAACACACTGTTTAGGTGGTTGTTTAGAAGTCATATTCCAAAGTCCCGGTCCCAGTGACTCTTTACCTCCTGGAGATGGCTTGCCAAAGGAAACGTCTCTGCACAGGATCCAAGAAGGTCCCTAAAGCAGAGACAGGAAACCTTAAGTTACCCCACCCATGCGGCAGGTTGCAGGTTCACTGACTTCTACCATAGAAGAAGAAATTGAGGACATATCAATAAAAGGCACAAAGAGGTGAATTAGGCAGAATTTAAAACACACACTCAAAGAACATAAAGTGTAGGCCCTCAAGAGAGGTGCTGGGGAATGATTATTATAAATAATTGTACTTCTCTGTGTTTCAAAATTATTTACTTTTGGTTTATATATATAACATACATGAAATGCATATGCTGTGCACATTTGTCTCCTGCTATAGGGCATTGATACTATTTAATGAAAACAATAAAAATAATGTAGCTAAAATGCATTTTCTTTCATTTTAAAGTTTGTGATGTGAATTAATAAAAGCATATGTGTGTATTTTAAAGAATAATTTGAAGTTTTAAAAATGTTAACCCAAAATGAGAATTATCCTTTATCCATATAATCACTAATGATAGTGTTTTCTTGTTAACAAGAAACTTAAAGATTCAAAACAAAGTATTTCTCTCTTTATTTTAATAGTTATTGAAAATATTTCTCATTGAAGCATTAGAATTCTTATTATTGTGATTTAAATGATTATTTGGTGAAAACCTGCTAAGTGCAGGTCACTGTGCCAAGAGCCATGTAGAGAGAGACTGAATCACACTCAACCCCTCTGCTCAAGGGAATCATTGATTCATAAGCTCCTTAGTAAAATATGTTATAGAGGATGAGTAAATCAGGATAGTCTTTCATAGATTTAGTCAAAGATGTAAATATATGTTTTTCAGGCATGTCTTTATATTACTCTCAAGTAAGAAAAGCTGTAGACAACATTTTAAGACACCTTGATAAAGAAGTAGGACGATGTATGATGCTAACTAATGTCCAGATGTTAAACAAAGAACCTGAAGACATGATCACGTGAGTATAATGAGCATCATTAACAGTGAACCAAAGGACAGGGGGAGAGGTTCTTCTAATTTATTTTTCCCATTTATTCTGTATTTTGCTCTCTCATATCTTCCTAGAATCAGTTCTAAGAAGTGTCAAGTGTTAAAGATAGGGAAAAAATACTTGGACATTATTTGAGTAACTATAAAGAGAAGGGAAAACTGGAAGTTGATCTAGTTTGGCTCTCAAGTGTCATTAGGCCAGTCAGTTAGAAAACAGGGCCCAGGGCCAGGGATTTAGCTCAGTGGTTCTGGCAGATGTCTTGCAAGCACAAGGTCCCGAGTTTGATCCCTGGTACCAAAAACAAAAAGGAAAACAGGGCTCACCACTCATGGACTAAACCATGTACCTTCTTCAGATGTGACATTTTGTTTCTAAACTATCACAACCCATGTGATATAGTGACATCCCCAATTTATAGACATTCTGTATTTATAACTCTCAAGATCGCTGGTTTCTAGTGACAGTTCTTGCTTAATAGTCTCTGTGCATCTGTGCCATAGATTTTAAGAAATTGTAATTCTAGCTCTCCAGAAGCTACAGCAGGAGGATAGCCACAAGTTTGAGGCCAGCCTGGGCCTTGTAGTGAGTTCAAGGCTAACCTTAACTACATAGCAAGACCCTATCTAAAAAAAATCAAAACAGAAATTTAATTAATTAATCATTTCTTCTGATCCCCACTTAAGATCTGTGACCATTCCTTCCAGATTACTTCTGTCAGTATAACATGTAAATACATAAACCTACTACCTATGATGGGATCACATCCCAATAAACCCAACATAAGTTGAAAACACATGAAATACCCCTAATTTACTTTACACCTTAGCTTAGGAAGGTGTCCGGTATCCAGTACAGTGTCCAGTTTGGCCCCATGATCAGTGAGTTCACTGGGCTCTGCAGTCAGTGCCCACTGTCACCAGAGAAGATTAGGTCATGTGTCACTAGCCTGGAAAATATCTAAATTCAAAATCCAAGCATTTTCTACCAAATGCAAATTGAATTTATGCCATCCTAAGTCTAGGACCATCTGTACTTTTTCTCTTTTTTACAGAAATGGGATTATATAATGCCCATCATCCTGCAGCTTGCCAGTCATTTGATTTAAGTCACTTTAGACTCTTCAACCAAAATAACAGAGTTGAGATTAACCAAGATTATTAACATGAAAGATCATTATGGCTTTAGTTGTTAACTCAGAAGTTGCCAGATTATCAGTAAACATTTACCCACATTATTCTATACTCCTTGAATATATTAAGCCATGTTTAATTTATAATGCAGATGATAAAAGAAATGCTTTTAAAATTCTGCCATATAGTTTTATCCTCTAAAAATCTAAAGCAATAATAGAGTTTTAAAGGAAAATCATAATCAGTAAACATCAATAAGATAGGTTCAGAACCAAAACAATATATACAAAATATGCAGGATTAAATATAAAAATATCTTATTTATGTTTTAACAATGCCTCATGCTTTTTTTTCTAAGATTCTTCTTTTTTTTTTTTACAATTCACCAATCTTCAGACCCCCAAATAAGGTTAAAATATTTTTCATGCTAGACTTTAAGGCATATCCCTCAGTGGAAAATAGCTCATTGCTTCATTTCTTTAAAAAAACAAGAGGAGAAATATTAAGGAATCATATAAGCCTTTAAAAGAGGGTGGAGACCACAAACACTAATGGGAACAGTCATCTGAGTTGGTATTTGAGGTTGGTGCACTACTTTCCCAGGCCCTACTTAGAATATGAACTTGAACATTAAGTCTTCCGTGTTGCTCAATTTCCATTCCTCATTTCTTTTGTGGCAAGGGGGAGGGAGAAAGAATATCATAATTTTAACGTCTGTTAATAAATTTTTTTAATTATGTTAATTTAAAGAGTCACATGCTTCCCGTAAGAGCCCAGAGTGCAAAGACTGCAATTCTAAGAAGAAAGCACGTACCAATTAGTTTCTAATCTAGGCTCGCTTCATCAGCTTAAAAGTCTGACACAGTTCATTTTAACTTTAGGCCAGGCAGGGTCGTCTGTTTTCCAACAGATATGAAAATAATCACAGCTGTTTAAAACATCTGGTGAGAGGGCCGGGGACTTAGCTCAGTGGCACCACGCCTGCCTCACAAGCGCAAGGACCTGAGTTCCATCCCCGGTACCAAAAAAGAAAAAAAAAGGCTGGTGAGCTGGTGAGCAAGCTAGGAGAATGTTTAAATGCCTCACTGCTACACATAAGCAATTAGCAATCACCAGGCTGTAAGTCTGTGTAGCTATCGAGGGTGTCATTGAATATATCTCTCTGCTTCAGCTCATTAGAAACCACTGTGCGATGGCTGCCTCCCTGGAATTCTCATACAGCTCATTCAACAGGTCCATGGGAAAGGACAAGAAGTAATCTTATGAAAAGAGAAATGCAGGAAGCTCAGGGGGCAGTAGCATACTTTGCACACAAAAGATCAAAGACTATGGATTGTTAAGTAAAAAAGAAGTAATCTTATGGTTTCCACAAAAGCAGAGTATTTTAGAGGTCAACATATATGTGTTTTATTCATTCTTAATAAACTTAACAAAACCATGCTAAAAAGTAATGTCACAGAGCAAGATTGCTGTTTGATTGTGATCATTAGATTACAGAGAGGATAGATTCTATTTGTTGCATTTCTATTCTGACCACAGTTTCTATTTCTCAGAAGAAATTACTTCTATGCCACTTTGCATTTTCATTATTGTGCCTGTGTCCTATGATTCCATTAATTTTGTACCAATCGTATCTTTATTCCCAGAAAACTAAATCATCAGAATTTAGATGTGCTGTTACATTTAGGTCATTTGAAAGATTTGATGGGTAGTTTAATTTTTTCATAAAAGTTTTTGGTACAATAAGTTGTGTTTTTAATCAGTTACCTACTAAGGCAACTAAAACTTGAAATAACATCACAAAATACAGTTGTCCCTCTATATCTGTAGGGGATTTTTTTCCAGGATACCACACTCCCCTACAGATTTCAACATCCAAGGTTATCTGGCCCCTGATATAAAATTACATAGTAATTCCATATAACTTCTGCACATCCTCCTATATCCTTTATATATATCAACTTTAAATTACTTATAATACCTAGAGCAGTGTACATACTATGTAAATAGTTATTATACTGTTTTGTTAAGGAAATAATGACAAGGGGAAAAAAATCTGTACATGTTCAATCCAGACACATTTTCGCCTCACAACATTTTAAATCCATAGTTGGTTGAATCCATGGATACAGAGGCTTACGGAATACATTTTTCCTTTACATTTCCCAACAATGGTGAAGGTATTATTACCATTAAACATTAGTATTCTCAGGAATGTAAAAAGAGAGAAGGATTCTTCATAGAGATCAGTGTAATTTTAGAAGTTAGAATTTCAGGATTTTACTTGTCATTACAGAAGCACTTAATTTTTAATAATAAAGCTAGAAGGTCTAGAATAGTGATGGAAACAGTGATGCAAACCTTTTAGAGACAGAGTGCCAAACAGCAACCCAAAACCCACTTATCTATCACAAAGTGCCAACACTGCAATTCAACCTGAATACTGAGGTTTTAATTTGGAAAAAAACCCTCATACGTTAGCATCTTTTGTCTTAAAAACAAGTGACACATGTGCCATAGGTTCACCACCACTGCTTTAAAGGAAAAGGCTAACTCATCAGGGAGGAAATCACAGATATCACATTTGTAAAAGGTACCATTCTGTATACATAGCCAAATTTAGCTCAGTGTGAAAGCCCTGGGTTCAATCCCTGGTACCACGAAATAAATCCTATTTTTAAATAATGAATGTAGAGATGACTGTTATGTATTTCTTCATGCTGATACATTTTGACGTTTCTGTAGTTCTGGTGTTTTAAGTGCAGCCCACAGGAACCAAACCCCATGGAAACCAACTGAATGGCAGGCCTATGGTAAAATCCCATTGATATCAGAATTTCAGAAATACGTTTAAATTTTTAAATTATTTTCTTAGAACCAGTCAACTTGTAAAAGCCGTAAACACTAGATTGTAAGTCAGAAGACATGAATCAAGTTCTGGTCTTTGTTCACATATTTAATGATTTTAAAAATTTTTTCACAATTGTTTGACCTGTTTAAAGTCTGTCTTCAAATTCTAGGGGTGAGAGAAAGCCAAAAATAGATCTTTTCAGGACCTGTGTTGCTGCTATTCCTCGACTGCTTCCTGATGGGATGTCAAAACTTGAACTTATTGATTTGCTGGCCAGGTGAGAACTCTACTGGATGTTATTTGACTAAAATTGATTTCAATCCTTGGTTGTGATTTAAAGAAAGAAGAACCACCTTTATTTACAATTGACAAACATTTACTGTCGGTTCTCTGATTGGGCAGGAAGGAATAAAGAAAAAAACTTTTTTTTTTTTTTTGGCTTTTAGATAAGATCTCGTTGTGTAGCTCAGGCTGGCCTTGAACTAACTTTATAGCCCAGGCTGGCTTTGAACTCACGGTGATCCTCCTGTCTCAGCCTACTGAGTGCAGGTATATGTCATCATTCCTAGCTCAAGAAATACTTTTTGGGGGTGGGGGTGGGGGTTGTTCTGGGGATCAAACTCAGGACCTTGCGCTTGCGAGGCAGGCGCAGTGCCACCGAGCTAAATCCCCAGCCCAAGAAATACTTTAAAGTAATGTTTTCTCTATGTTCAAGGAGTTTAAAATCCAATTTAGAAGGAATACATAAGTAGATAATTGAAAAACCCAAGGGCTAGAATTCTGCAAATTAGTGTCACAAAAAGTAGACACATAAAACCAGTGGATTACTGTGGACCAAGGCAAATGAATCCAAGAGAAGGTACCCTTTAAGGAGAAAGAGAAACTACCCTTTAAGGAGAAGGTAGAATTCACAGAGGGAAGGGGAGTGAAATGACAAAAGTAGTTCGTTCAGGGCCTGACCGCCTAGGGGTTCGAAAAATGTTGGGAATGGGATCCTAAACTAGTTTTAGCATTTCAGAAAGCTGCCAAAAATCATTTTTATCACTCTCACCATTCTTGATAAGAATGCACAGTCTAACTAGAATCTAAAATGTATTTGCTTTAAGTGAAATTAGCTTATTATACTTAGTAAGCTTGACTATCTCCTGTTGATCTGAAGCTCTGTTAGGCATGTCTTTAATTTAAAAATCAAAAATGACTCATTGCCTAAAGACAGTGTAGAAGGCAAGATTATTAGACACATGGTGTGTGAGGAATGAGGAAAAACAAAAGTTATCATTGGCTTGGGGAAAAAAAAGAATGAGAAAAGAGTTTGGAAACCCAAAGATGAAAGGAAATAAAAATAAGGCTAGAGAGGTTAGATCATTAGTGAATCTTATATATTAACAGAGGCATTTGGGTTGGTGAAATTTTCAGTGGGGGAACAACATGATTTAAATTGACATTTGATGCTGATTAAGGTGATATTGGTAGAGTGAAAGAAAGCTTAGAGGAATTTTGTATTCCTATTGGCCATTTTACTACCTATGTGGTTTGGACAAATTACTTGGCCCCTCACCTATCTTTTTCCTGTGGTAAAATTTTGGTAAAGTCTCTGATGGTGTTTTGCAGTAAATCTGTGTAGGAGGCGCTTACCTCTAGAATCACCTTGATAGCCTAATCCGGTGACACTGGAATCTGCAGACTACAGTGCCAGGCATGTGGGGAGGGCATTCTGTTAGACGCAGTTGGAATGTCAATGCTATTTATAGCATATCCTGTTTATTATTATGTACATTCTTATGAAGTCCAAAGTCATCAGTACAGTTTTTTACGAGGGAGAAGAACAAATAAATATTGAGAGTTCAAGAAAATGACTAGGCTGTATCAGAAGCTTGTGAAGAAACCTTTTTCATAAATTTCAAAAGAAACCAGAGGCTATTCTCCTTGGGGGAACATAACTCGAGTTTGAGACCTGCACACTGTGTCCTATTAACCTATGAGAAAATGAGCCTGTTCCAATGACTAAAGAGGGTCAGAGGACAAAAGTGAAGTTCACTCACAACAAGTGTGGGTTTCAAGTACCACATAAGTCTTTGGTCTCTTTGTGCCCGTACAATCTAGTTGCATTTGGATTAAATTGACTTGAGACAGTATTTGTGGTCTAGTCACAGATGAGACCTTTGATTTCAGACTTTTCACACTCATATCCATGGTAAGTTTTTACTTGAAATCTTGGTTTTTCTTAAAAAATTGAAAAAATAAGACCAGTATTCACTCAGGCTCTAGTCCCTTCTGGCTCAGTTCCCTGTAAGGTGTTTCAAGGATGTGTCCCACATAATCTGCAGGAGGCCCCTTCCCAGATTTTCTGGTAATGGCTAAATACCACAGACACCAAAAGCTCTGACTCGTGTTGGTATGCTGAACATGACAGTGGTGTTTGGAAAGCAGCAGGCAAACCTCCTGAGTGAGGAATCGTTCTTTGCAGGCTCTATGGAGGCTAAATAGGCCTTCCAGATTCATTTTCAGATCCCTCGTTGTACTGCTTTCTTGCCCTTAGCAGAGCCCACTCTGCTTGGCTGTCTGGCTTCCCCAGGGATAGAAAGGGGAGTTTACTTCTCTCCTTGGCAGTCAATATCTTTTCTTTCAACCTTCTGAGCTGCATCCTACTGCGTCATTTGACCACAAGAAGAATCTTTTCCCCGAGAGTCCTGTCATCTCTCGCTTCTCGCTGCACCATATGTGCACTAAGGGTCTTCTGTTCAATATTTACCCTCCCCTTTCAAAATTTTGACTTTGTTAATATAATACCCATTGCATAGGGTTGTGAGAATTAGATAATGCATATAATCACTTAGCAAACTGCCTAGCACACAATAAGCTCTCAGCAAATGTTAGTTATTATTTTTAGGTATCTTCTCATTTGAATAATACATACCATGTTATGCAATACATTTTATATACATCATATTAGGTAAACTGGGTACATAGTCGTCCCTATTTTTAGTCAGGAAAACAACTTCAGAAGAATAAAACTGGTTGCCCAAATTAATAGAATTTTCCTGAAACCAAATATCATTTCTTTTAAGCAAAATAACAAATACCTTTTATGCAGTGACTTCTTATAATTTGTGGAAATATCAGGGGTAATGCATACACAATTCTAGATCTTCTATGGTATCTGAAATATATTAACTATTCTGCTTTTGCTCTTCAACATATTTGGTGTTATAAAAAAGTGATTAGTTTTATGTAGCTGAGAGAACTAGTTTCAATTTTATATATTGTCTCAGTAATTCACTTTGTCTTATTTGTTGTAATTGAGATGCAGTTTAAAGCACTGCAGATAGATGGAAGTCCATTCTTCAACACCCCCAGAAGAGACATTGCCACCACTTCTGATGCACTAGTGCAATATCTAACAGCCAACCTACCAACAAACCCCCGTTTTGGAACCCTCCTCTCCTGGGCTTCATTTTTACTGCCCTAGTCACCTCTTCCTAATAACATTTTGTTCATTTGCCATAGTGTAAAGCAGGATGCTTCTCCTGATTGACCTTTTCTCCAGGATATGGCTTTGAATTTGAAATCACCCCTTTTATTTGCATAACAAATGGAAAACCAAATTATTAAAAGTTACTAAGCTGAATCTGAAGCTCACCTGTATGAAGGTGGTTTGCATTAAAAGTCATTTGTCTAATCTGATCAAGCAAGAAGGTGGCCTTGTCCAAGTTCAGGTTTTTCCCCATTTTATAAAGAGTCCTTATTTATTCAGCAACAACCTAATACAAGCAGCACATGCCCTTGGGATCAAGCCTCTTGCTCTGATCACTGCAGACAGGGCCCCAGGACCGGTCACAGCAACACATGTGACCTGTGCAGAATGCAACTACATATTTGCCTGCTCATCTGAGTGCTTATCCCACAATGGGTTTGGTCCTTGCCCCTGATGCCAGCTGCCTGTAGGGACAAGTGGAACTGATGTTGCAATATTGGTCTCTTTTGGTTTATTTTACTGCTGTGTCCCTGTGGATATCTTTTAAGGCTTCTTCATGGTTTTATTTGTGTATAACCAAGTACCAGCGGCTCTGTTTTAGGATCCTGAAAACGAGATCAGCATCTTAGAAATTTTGCTTGTGTGTCCCCCCAAGCTACTCAGACCTCTTGAAGTTGCTTTTCTTACAGTCTCTCTCTGTTCTCTTTGAGCTCTCTTGGAGGGCAATTTTTAAATTAAAATTGTATTCATTTATTTTGTGGTCAAGGCTTTCTCTTCCTTTTGTGGTCCAGTTTCTCCATGAAGTGGCCCACCTAGAAATGGGGGAAACTACCCGTTCTTCAACTACATCATTGCTAGATAAGAAGACCTAAAAGGATTTACTGCTTTCCTGCAGATGTTGAATACCCAGGGTGGCTGATTATCTTTTTTCACTTAATTTTGAGTTATGTTTTATATAAATCTCATGTGTTTCACAAAATGACCTTTGATTATCTGGTTAAAATGCAATAAAAACAAGAATGAGAAAGACCTGGGTGGAAGAAATGATAACTGTATCTAACAGCTTCAGGAGCAGACAAAGGAAGAGAACCTTGTCCTCTCCACTCGTCCACACCCTACACCACAGGTTATTTTCCCTTGGTCTCAGTTCTATGACAACCTGAGACTTTTTCTTCTACCACCATTCCACTTTTACGATCAATTGGGCTTTCTATCCCCAAAGCCCATTCCCCGGTCTTGTATCTTCATTTTTGGACCCTTTCACTGATAGACCATATGAATACCATCATTTCAAGAGGTGTGGCCTCCCAGAATGGTAAGGACTACACAGCCCTGGGATTCCCAAAAACTTAAAATGATCTTATTTTGTGGGCTTAAAGTGAAAACAGATTCCAGATTGCAAATTGTTCCTGAAAGCAAAGACAGATGACAATAAAATTAATCTTATTTAAAAAGCTGAAAGTATTGGCCCTTGATTACAAGCTTCTTCTAAGTAGACCATGCCATGGCTTTGATTCTTAGTGCTTGCCAATTACATCAATTTTGGCTTGCTAGGGTTGCCAAAACAAAGTACCACAAGCTGGATCAATTAAATGACAGAAAATTTATTGTCTCTTCATTCTGGGGGCTAGAAGTATGGGCAGACTTCCTTCCTTCTGAACACTGACACAACATCTCTTCCCTTGCCTGGCTTCCAGTAATTCCTAGCAATCTCTGACATTCCTTGGCTTGTCTGAGTATCACCCTGGTCTCTGCCTTTACCTTCACATGGCATTTTTCTTGTCTCCAAAAGTTCCCTTATA